ACTTCAGCATCTATTTCTTGAGAATATCCTCTTATAACCACATTAGTTATGAAGATTTAACATTCAGTATTTTATCTATAGTTCGTGTTATCTTACTAGTGACTGAATATGTGTGTGGTAAACACGTGTGCCTGTGTGCAGGTGTGTGTACCTCTACCAGGATTTGGACTCGACCTAGTGCTTTCATTTAGCTTTTCCCTTACATCTACTGCTCAATTGCTTGAGCCATCCCTCCAGTCTGGTTTTTTGTTGATTGTGGGGCTTGAACTTAGCCTGTGCGCTGTCCCTGAGCTCTTTTGCTCAAGGCTAGCACTCTACCACTTTGAGCCACAGCTCCACTTCTGGGTTTTGAGTGGTTAATTGGAGATAAGAGTCTCATGGGGACTTTTCTGCCAGGGCTGGCTTTGAACCGTGATCCTCAGATCTCAGCCTCCTGAGTAGCTAGGAGTACAGGCATGAGCCACCGGCAGCTGGCTAGTCTTGATATTTTTGGTTGTTTACTGGAGATAGTCTTGAGACCCTCCAGGTCTCAGGCCTCTAGAGTAGCTAGGATTACAGGCATGAGTCTGGTGCCTAGCTATGTTATCACATTTTTTTTTTATTACCACCAATTAGTTGTACAAGAGAGAGTTAAATATGTCCAAACATGTATACAATGTGCCTGTTGACACTCATCCCCTCACACTTCTCCTCCTCTTGTTTTAATACCACCATTGTTTAAAAAGTAATAAAACGAGTGGGAATGTTGCTCAGTGGCCAGGAGGTAAGTCCTAGCACTGCAAAACAAAAGCTAAAAGAGCACTCAAGTCTCAGTACTAGCAAATAAAGTAACTAAAAGTAAAAACTGAAGCAAAACTGGGTTGGGGCGTGGCTCAAGTAATAGAGTGCTTACCTGGCAAGTGCAAAGACCTGAGTTCAAACACCAATACTATCAACACACACAAAAGCAGGGCCACTCTAGTAACTTGAGAAATTCTGTTGTGTGTGCTATGTGTCCGCTCTGTGAAGATGCTGGATAAATTATAAAGACTCCTAGAGAGCCATTAGAGTCCCTTTTGTTCACCCTCAACAAGCTAACTGGATATGTGAGCTGATCAGTCAAAATGTCTTAAGGACAGAAATATTAATGGGTGCCTTTGAGAAACAAGTCAAGCTATTATTTGTCCCTGACTTGGCAAGGCAAGACTTATTTTTATTTATCTTGCTGGTTCTGAGGTTTGAACATGGGGCATGGCATTCTCACTCAGCATTCTTGCCCATAGCTGGTATTCTACCACTGGAGGCAATGCCTGCAGCTTGCTTTTTGCTGAATAATTAGTCTCATAGACTTTCCTGCCTGGACTGGCTTCAAAATTTGATCCTCCAAGCCGGGCACCAGTGGCTCACGCCTGTAATCCTAGCTACTTAGGAGGCTGAGATCAGAGGATCGAGGTTCAAAGTCAGCCTGGGCAGTAAAGTCCATGAGACTCTTTTCTCCAAAAACCACTCAGAAAACCAGAAGTGGCACTGTAGTTCAAGTGGTAGAGTGCTAGCCTTGAGCTGAAGAGCTGAGGGACAGCACCCAGGCCCAGAGAGAATTCAAGCCCCACAACCAACAACAACAACAAAAAATCAATCCTCCAGATCTCAGCCTCCTTGAATAGCTAGGATTACAGGGTGAGCCATTGATGCTCACCTATTTGCTTATAGAGTAAGGAATGATTTGCATATCACTCACTGGCTTTGGAACCCAAAAAACCTGACTTTGAGTCCTAGATTTTGGCACTTAGCTTGTCAATCTAAGACACTATCCACTTCACTAAACATTTCCAGAGATTATATAACTGTTCAAGTGTCAATGACTAGTTTGCTGATGGATAGATCAAAACAGATTTCAGACTGTTAAAACTGGGCTGAGCTGAAATGAGGTCCCTGGACTTTGTGTTCACACATTCCTATTTTCTGTAAAGATTGACTAGATTTCTCCATATTTTAAGGGCAGAGCTGTCCTAGGTCTTTTTGTTTCCCTTTTCTTTTTGGGTACTGGGGTTTGAACTCAAGTCCTACTTTGTTAGGCCTGTATACCAGGCATCTTTAGATGCTAGTGGGCCCTCTTTCCACAGTTAGCATTTTTGTGGTCTAGCACCACCATGTGGTCGGCAGCATAAACTCAACCACTTCCATAGGAGCTGTGTTGGAAGTACACTATACTACAAACTTCTTATACCTTTTGTTTATTTAATCTGTATCTCGGCCCATAAATCGGTGGAAAAATTGACACCCAGAAACATGGAATAATTTACCAGTCTCTCAAGGATAGCCAGGATTGATGTTCAGATGTGAAGTTCTGCTTCCTACCATAGCTGCTCCCCACTTTCATAGCTGGAGAGGCCCATCAGATCTAGGGCCTATTACTGATAATGAAACTGAAGGCTAGGAAAGGATTTAGTCACAAGCTCATCTATTAAAAGGTCCTGAACTTGTACCCCAAATTGGCTTCCAACTCAAGTACTTGTGCTTCAGTCCCAAGTACTGAGATTACTGGTGTGCACCACCAGACTGGTTAGGATAGGGGTCTTATCTGAGTCTTGAGGTAAACCTATTATGCAAGGTCAGGGTAGGACTTCTGCAGATGGCCCTACCTAAAACAGAATTTATAGAACCCTAGAGAGAGAAACTGCACGAGTCCAGTTATTCATCCATATCCAAACAAACCAAGCTACTACCCCCATTGGCTGGTCATTTTCTATGTCCCTTGAACTGCCATCAGGCCTCATCAGGATGGGATTTGGCAGAAAGGAGTCCCAGCTGGCACTCACTCAAGTTGGCTACAAAAGAGAAGCTGGCATGAAGTTTAAATTCTACCTTGGCAGTTAGCCTTGCATCTCCAAGGCCTGTCCGAGAGACAATGCTTGGGAACTGGATCCGGAGAACAAAAGATCACAAGTGCTACAGGCCCAGACAGGCAAGTGGCTCCACCTACACATATCTGGCATTGCTATGCTGCCTTCCAGTGATTTGACTTCAACATCACCTAGGAAATGCCCTTAGGAGGAAAGTTACACCCTCAACTACACAGGATGCTTGTCCCTTTCTTGATTGGTTAATAGGGAATCTTATAGATCAGATAAAGAAATGCATAAAAGTGTGTTGAAAAAGCCAAGTGACAGAAAAACACCATTGCTAGTCAACACTTGTTCTCAAATCTGGGAAGAACAAAACATGTACCACCTTTGTTCCTCAGCTGCCCAAAAGTAGTGACTTCAAGTACCTGGACCTCTGGGGAAAGTAAAAGGAAAAAGCCTACTGTTCTTAATCTGGTTTAGAAGCCTTGCTCTACCTTGACCAGTGTGACTTTTTGGGTGTTGCTGTCACTCTTATAGCCAAGTGCCTGTATAATGCTCTTCCATCTGGGCCATTCTACTGTAGCACTCAAAGGCAAGCAGAGGTAGGGAATAAACTTTGAAATTAGACTTGGGACAAAATTTGACTTTATCCATAAAGGACAGATACTGAGGGCTGGGAATGTGGCTTAGTGGTAAAGTGCTTGCATAACATGCACAAAGCCCTGGGTTCGATTCCTCAGCACCACATAAACAGAAAAACCTGGAAGTGGTGCTGTGGCTCAAGTGGCAGAGTACTAGCCCTGAGCACTCAGGCCCTGAGTGCAAGTCCCAGGACTGGCACACACACAAAAATTAACCAACCAAAAAAACAAAAGCAACAACAAAAAAGGCACTGAACCTCTTTGTCTCTGGTAGTTTCCTTGTGGACCACTTGCTACAATGGAATGTTGGGAGACAGGAAATAACAAAGTTAAAATATCTTTTCTTTTTTTAAAGCACAAGTTTTCCCAGATAAGAATGTGGGATGGGTGAAGATAGAAACTGACTGGTCCCAGAAGCTTGATGCTCTTCCAATGTAAGCTTGGGATCATGACCTCAAGACATCCTTTATGTAGGTAATATAGTAAAAATAACTTAGGGCTGAAAATTTATTAGGTATGTCTGATCTGACAGTCTTTTGAAAACTCACCATCTCTACAGTCATAACTTTCTAGGAACAGTCCTAAAAAATCTCAAGCACACAGAAGTATATTCTTAAATATGGTTTAATACTCTTCTCCATTTCTGTACATCACAACACCAAGATTTTGCTGCTTACGATCTTTCTGCAGAGGCTAGAGAATGCAAAGGCTATGGTTTTCACCCCCTCTTATTTATGTGTTTGTATGTGTAAGTGTAATACATATCAGTATATATTGATACACACATCAATATATAATGCAATATATATCACTGAAGAGAACACATTGATTAAAGAAATACAAAAATTTGGCATCATCTCCAAACTTAAATAGTAAAAATAAAAACTACAAAAGGAGCTGCATACCCTAAATGTATCATGTGAAACAACAAGCATATTCAAAAATGTAAATTTACATCCAATTTCTCTGGTCTTGTCATATCACATTAGACCCATTTACAATGGCAAAACCCTAAGGTACTGCTGTGAAGAGAGCGTGTTGTTTACTCTTGGGTGTTCTGCAAAGAAACTGCAGAGCCCCAGACAGATGCCTGTTCCAGTGAAGCTTCCCATGTTGGTGAAAACACACACACACACACACACACACACACACACAAAAGAAAGAAAAAAACAACCAAAGCCTCTTCTTATGGGGTAGGAGTTGAACATCAGGTTATGTGACAGACAGTCGTTTGGACCTCAGAGTACAGTGTGAGAATCAGAAGCGTTACATTTAAGACATACTCCCTTCATTCAAGTGAAACAGGATTATTGGAACGATAGGTGGGTCTGTAACCTGGGAACAAGGAGCTGGTTCAGACCAATAAAGCTACAAGTGACTGAGTCAAGTCAGTGAAGAACAGCAGTCAGGCACTAAAGTGTTAAAAGTACTCAATTTGAAAACCAAATATACCCCACTACCCTAGTTGGTGTGGGATAACAATTGACTTTTAAAACCTTTGGTCCTTCAAAGTCCCTTTGATGTACTTTTTCCATTGCTACCACTGGGCACATCCTACACTTTTCTTGTAACCACCTAGAGCATACCATGACCTTGCATGTTAGCTAAATTCAAGTCTGACCTACAGCCCAACTTACGAAGCATAAGCTTCAGGTTTTTAGGCCAACTTTTAGATCCAACATGGTTTAATCCATGGTGCCAGAAGCCATATCCCATCCCTTTCCCACCCCTGCCCTTCCCACCCTCTGCCCATAATTTCTCATCTGAGAGGTGCTCATTAAGTCCCATATTTGAAACAGATGCTCCAACCCCACCAGGGGATTATAATTACATGCACGGTCAAACATGTCATCTGTCATTCCTGTGAAAAATCTTGTGGTTCATTAAAAAAAAAGAATCAAAGCATTCACATAATCTCATGCCATCCAACACAAGGAAACACCACCTCCCTTTTACCAAGATTAGACCCAAGCAAAATAAAATAACCTTTAAATATTTTTGCTTCCACTTAAATTGCAGGTTTTATTTCTCCCAATCCCAGCAATAGCACAGAAGCCCCATCATATCCATCCCCAATTGGTTTCTAGTAGGCTAAGATTATGGGGACCTTTGTCAAAGCAAGTGATACAAAGGGCTCCCAAATTTCAGGTACAAATGTGCCTGTCAAGCAGATGGAAGTAAACAGTGCACTGGCCCCAATGCTTCATCAATTTGACTTTGCAATGCAATCTGCATCCCTGAAACCAACAGTCTGGAGTGGGGAGTAGTTCTGAGGGAGTGAAGTTGAAACTGCTTCCTATTAGCTCACCCTTTCAACATTAAACAGAGACCAAGAGAGAAATGGTTCCAACATTTCACCACATATATTTCTTCTTATGCAGTCTAAGCTGAGAATGCCATGTAAATGGGTCACTGCGAAATGCAGCAATTTAATTTTTATCCGATCAAAATAACAAACCAGTATGATCTCACTTCTATTAACTTTTGAAGGTTTACAGCAGTTAAAGTATTTTTGCTTCTATGTATGAAGGTTAAAAAAATCTTTTTTTTTTTTCATAAAATACAAGAGCAACCAATTTCACCATCGAGTAAAAGTAAAAACTGGGATTCTTTTTTTTTTTTTTTTTTTAAATTAGTCCAAAGTGGAATTTAGGAACTTAGTTGTAGGCTGCTGCGCTGACACCATGACAAACCAAAGTGTAGGGTTGGGTCTGGTTTTGTTTCGGTTTTTCTTTTCAGTATCCAATGCTCATGGATTAAGTTCTGGAAATGTTCCAATTGTAAGGCAGGGATCTGTTTGGATTCCATCATGGGTATGCTCCTTGGGTTGGATGCTGGAGGGTGAGGCACATTTTGCCGGACCCATGTCGACTACCTAGTAGTCATCAAGGTCAAAAAATTCATCGTCTCCTCCTTGGTATTCCATTCCCTGGAAATCTACTCGGTACCGCAAGATACCTGGAGAAACAAAAAGGATTAAATACCTGTGTTCAAGGAATGGGAAAGGATCACTCTAAAGCAGGATGCCCAGGCTCCTGCAGAATTACAGAGGTAATGATTAAAAAATAATTTATATTAAGATGAGTGTGGTGGTACAAGTTTGTAAGCCCAACAATGAATGGGAAGACTGAGGCAGGAGGATTAAGAATTCAAGTAAGTCCCAGCCAATCTGGTCTACTAAGTGTCATAAAACCAAACAAAAAACAAAGGCTAGGTGACAATTGGTTGGGCCTATAATCCTAGCCACCCAGGAGGCTAAAATCTAGACTAGGATTCACACTTCAAGACTAGCTTTGAAGCCGGGCACTGGTGGCTCACGTCTGTAATTTTAGCTACTCAGGAGGCTGAGATCTGAGGATCGCAGTTCAAAGCCAGCCCGGGCAAGAAAGTCCGTGAGACTCTTAATCCAATAACCCACTAGAAAACCAGAAGTGGCACTGTGGCTTAAGTAGCAGAATGCTCACCTTGAGCAGAAGAGTGCAGGGACAGAGGCCATGCCTAGCTTTCAAGCCCTACAACCAACAAATCAAAAAACAACCCCCCCCCCCCCCCAAAAGCTCATGAGTGCCCAATAAAAAAACCCAGACTAGAGGCATAGCTCAAGTAGTAGAGTGTCAGCAAGCAAGCTGGTTAAACTCTAAGCTCTGAGTTCAAACCTCAGCATCAGCAAAACAGGCCCGGTCCAAATCAGTGACTTTAGTCGTCCACCATTCTAACCACTTGTCTTAAATAGATTACATAAGCATGCCTCACCTGAAATAACATTTCAGGCTAGCCAGGAGAGGCTGGCTGAGAAACTGTTTTTTGTTTTTTTTTTTTGTCGGTCGTGGGGTTTGAACTCTGTGCCTGGGCATTGTCCCTCAGCTCTTCAGCTCAAGGCGAGCACTCTACCACTTGAGCTACAGCGCCACTTCCGGTTTTCTGGTGGTTTATTGGAGATAGGAGTCTCATGGTCTCTCCTGCCCGGGCTGGCTTTGAACTGCAATCCTCAGATCTCAGCCTCTTGAGTAGCTAGGATTACAGGCGTGAGCCACCAGCGCCCGGCTGAGAAACTGTTTTTTGATTTTGTTTGATGATTTGTTACTCACCTCCAATTCCACCAAATCCTTTCACAAACTGGGATCCTTCTTGTGATTTATCTGTGACAATTTCTAATGTAGCTCCAAATTTTTTATAGTTGTTAGCAAACCATTCCAAGAGGGGCATGCTCTCAATCAGCTCATGTTCTTGTCCTGTCTACAAGGGCAACCATGAAATACAAAAGCAATGGGATTAAGATATATCAGTGCTCAGAATGCCTCTCTCAATCTCCTTGCTAACCATCATCAATAATCCTGCTGATTCTATGCACCATGTTTATGAAATGAAGTAATTTTTTTCTTTTTGGTAATGTAACAGCAGAGAAAATCTGATCATTTTTCCTCAGTCTCTAACTCTACCCTGTTATGAAATATCAACACATACTTAGTGATTTCTTAACTTATGATTCCTATTGTCGATTTTATACTGTCTCTATCAAACAATTCAACAGCCTAGAAGAAACATACCACAACTGCTTTTGGGAGCAGCCTTTCAAGGGCAAAGTCCTCCAACTCAGAATCTGAGTACACTGGCAATTATTGACATCTCAGGAAGGTAACATTTTAAACTGTGGTAATGTAATAAGACTAAACTGAGAAAGTCCCCTGCAGTGGAAGAGTTGAAAAGTGAAGGCACAGTGCTATTCAAATTAAAATTTCTGTTATTCTAAGGATGTTTTACTGATGGATTTACTACTGAAAAGCGATCTGCAATTGGGCGTGATAATGTACATAGTACCCCAGCTACTCCAGAGGCAGGACCTCCAGTCTTAAAAAAGAGTCCCAAATGAAAGAGCCAGCTGTATGGTTCCAGGGGTATATAACACTATGTCCAACTCCCAATATTACCAAAAAAAGGAAAAAGGAAGAAGAAAAAAAGAGTGGTAACATGATGTGGCTTCCTTCTTGGAATCAGTTAGTGGCAGACACGAGTTGACCAGTGACTGCAGACCACCTAATCAGTATGAGTATTAATTTCCTAAGGCTGATACTGGGTTTCCAGTGCTCTAAAATACACTCTTAACATTTCCTGCAAGGATGACCAAAGAAAACAATCATTTACCTCTTTGTCTGTGAAATGAGATTTATCCTTCTCTTGTTCTGGTGTTAAGTAGAGAATTTTCTCCTCTGTAGTATTAAAAGAAAACAAAAATACGTTAACTTGGTTCTTATATATACCTATCCTTTCCTCAGGTTTCCTGAATAAGAAACAAAGAGCCAACCCCAGTCTCTAATTCTTTTTACCTTCGGTGCCTTGGCAATGAAGAACATATCTCATTATATCCAGATTTTCATAGACTATTAGAATCTCTACAGCTCCCATTTCCAAAGCCTTTAGTGTATCTTCAACTCCAAAGCAGTACTTGCCGGTGTCCTGGCTAATTTCATCAAAGTATCGTCCTGTAAATTTGGGATAGAATAAAATATACAACTGGCTCAACATATCCATGAATTTACCCTACCATGGCTTGAAATTATTGAGGTAAGGTTATACTTTTGAGGATGTGTATTACGTAGTTAGGTCTATGATGGCTGCATCTGAACTAGACATGGGTCAGACCTTTTCTTGTCATTATAACCGGAATAACACAATATAACCATTTTTTTAAAAAGTAAGATTCACATTATGTTGGGTATTATAATCTGGAGACAATTTAAAGTACATGAGATACCACATAGTTTTGTAAATACCACATATTTTTTAAAAGGATCTTAAGCACCTGTGGATTTTGGGTATCCAAAAGATCCTGAAATCAACTCTGTGTAGATAACTGAGGGATGACTATACATTTTCATGGATATACACACTTATTAGATCTAATGTCTAATGGTTAAACATGATGTTTGTGGAGGCCGAAACTTTATTTAAATATTAAATTCTCTTCCTTTTTTCTCAGTGTCCTGTTTGAAACATATATACAAACATTTCATATAATAAGCAAAATAGTTGCATTTCAGTGATACCTATTAATTTCTTCTCTTGAATGAATTTCACGTTGGAGAGGACTTCAGTAGATAACTCAATAGCTTGGTTGAATCCATTTTCACCACCATAGGATATATCAACTAATTTTAAAACCTTTGATTGCAACCTCTGACAATTAAAAAACAAAAACATTAGACTTCAAAACACCTTTACCAACACCTACTATCTTAATGGCAGAAAAGCTCTAGCATTATCTCTGAAATCTAAATATGGGTAAGGTGCCCAACTTATTCTATGACACCTACTGTAGGGTAACTCATTAAATGCAAATAAAAATAGGCTTATGAAGGGAAAGCCACTGGCTCCTGCAAAACAGGTAATGAAAAATACTTTGGGAATGTGTTATGGCTGAGGTCATGTCATAAGCCAGAAGTTCCTCTGGATATTAAATGCGTTACTTACCTCCAGAAATAAATTAGCAAAAGACAGTACAAAAAAAACCAAAACACCCAAATAAACAAGGTAAAAATAGTTTCTAAGATTCTCTGAATCAAACCATTTTAAAGCCAATTATGGCAACAAACACTAGCATTGTACCTCCACAGGATCCATTAGAATCCCACCTAGAAATAGTTGATTTCAATAGAGAGGGAATGTTCCCTAACAAATACTCATAAACTTGATATACCATTTAACTCAGAGGTGAATTTATTGTTTTTTAGTGAGGTTTGCAACTGAAACTAGGGGATTGTGCATACTAGGCAAGTGCTCTATCATTGGGCTACAATCACCAGACCACAGAGGTATGTTTTTCTAATGATAAATAAGTTTTTCTAATGATACAGATATGGGCATATCCAGGAGCTTACATAGGGGATTTACCTACTCTTAATTCAGAGGTTCATATAATGAAAAATCTACTTCTCTCACTTACCTGATCAAACATATCAGACTGACTTAGTTCAGTTTTAAAGTCAGCTGATCCAGCTAAAACGAGACCAGCCACATTCACTTTGTCACCAGAAATAAACAGCTGCACAGCAGTCTCTGCTACTTTCCGAACATAGTTATGTCGCTTTTCCATTCTTAAACGGGCAAATCGTAAGGCTGACTGACCTCCTCTTCCTTTGACACAAAAGTGGCAAGAAAGAGATAATTACTAAAAGTACAAAATGTCTTGTGAATTTAAAATAATTAAGTCATTACTCAAAAGGACAAAAAGAAGATCATTTCTTTAATGGTTTAGCACAAACTGTAATTTGCTTACGTGAAACGGTTTTACTGCTAAATACAAAGTAAAAGGCTCACGTTTTTTCTTCCTACATTACCGTGTTTTTTGGGGAGATCCACAGTGAATTTGTGTAGGACTTCTCTTGTGTTTCCTTGGAGTGTGCCAAAAAGAGCACCACTGCCATCTATTACAATGAAGCCAAACTTGCTGTCATCTGAAAGTAATGCTGTAAGAGCCTGAAAACAAAAACAAAAACCACAAGTACCATCTAATGAGCGCCAAAGCTTTGCAAGATCAAGGCAAACAATCCTAAAGGTCATGTGTGAGCCCTTTACCCAATTCTACATAGTAAAAAACAAAACAAAACTTTACACAACATAGTCTTATAAAGTAATGGAAATGGCTGGTGGTGTTTTTGCACGTTATGAATCCACTTCTACTGATATTATAATTACTTTATATGTATTTGATAACAAAAAAAATGAATAAAAGTCCCAACCATCCAATCCCCATACCTCATGCCAGATATGGTGGTACATATCTTCAATAGACTGCAAGATTCAGTGTCAAAAAACAACCAACAGCTGGTCCTGGTGGTTCATACCTGTAGCCCTAGCTAGTCGCTATTTAGAAGGCTGAGATCTTAGGATCTCAGTTGAAAGCCAGCCTAGGCAGGAAAGTTCATGATAGAGACTCTCTATCTCTAATTAACCTCCCAAAAGCTGGATGCAGAGGTGTGGTTCAAGATACTATCCTTGAGCAAAAAGCTCAAGGACAGCTCCCAGACTCAAAGCTCAAACCCAGGACTGGCACAACAGCAACAACAAAAACCCCAAGAAGCTAACTACCACTACATACCAAATCAACACAAGTTACAGGCTCCATCTTTCCCCCCTAGTTTTCTTCATTTGATTTAGACATGTAGTTCATGAAATATAACATTCAAACTAAGGATCTAACTTCTAAAAGCTGACTTTGTTTTTTTTCAGGGCAGTGCTTGGAGAGTCTCATGAACACAAGGTAAGTGGTCTACTACCAGGACCACCATTAATATAAAAAAAAAAAATCTGCTCCCCCCCCCTTTTATGTCAGTCGTGGAGCTTGAACTCTCTCTGGGCCTGGGCACTGTTCCTCAGCTCTTCAGCTCAAGGCTAGTGCTCTACCACTTGAGCCACAGTACCACTTCCTGTTTTCTGGTGGTTTATTGGAGAAGAGTCTCTCAGACTTTCCTGCCTGAGCTGGCTTTGAACCATGATCCTCAGATCTCAGCCGCCTGAGTAGCTAGGATTACAGGCGTGAGCCACCTGTGCATAGCAAATCTGGCCTTTTATGTTACTAATAACTCAAACATCAGACAGTATAAACTCTACAGCAGAAGGAAATGAAAACTCAGAAATTTTCTACATCTCTTAAAATCATTTTCTAATCTTGAAATATTTAATCTAATTCCTGTGGTCTTGAGTAACATTAAAACTCAGTTTTAAAGATATTAGAACCAGATGCCAGTGGCTCCAGCCTATAATCCTAGCTATTCAGGAGGCTGAGATCTGAGGATTATGGTTCAAAGCCAGCCAGGCAAGAAAGTCCTTGAAACTCTTATCTCCAATAAACCACTCAGAAAACCGGAAGTGGCACTGTGGCTCAAGTGGTAAAGCGCTGGACTTGAGCTGAAGAGCCCAGGGATAGCACCCAAACACAGAGTTCAAGCCCCACGACTGATTCCACCCCCCTCAAAAAAAAAAAAAAAAAAGTCTCACAGACTTTTCTTGCCTGGGCTGGCTTTGAACTCGATCCTCAAGATCTCAGCCTCCCGAGCAGCTAGATTACAGGTGTGAGCCACCAGTGCCTGGCTCCATGAGACTCTTATCTCCAACTAACCACCAGACAAATGGAAGGAGAGGTGTGGCTCAAAAACAGAGTGCTAACCTTGAGCAAAAGAGCTCAGGGACAGTAACCAGGCCCTGAATGCAAGTCCCACGGGTGTACCCCCCAAAAAAAAATTCTATCTGGGTACAGTGACTCGTGTCTGTAGTAATCCTAGCTACTCAGGAGTCTTGAGATCTGAGGATTGCAGTTCAAAGCCAGCCAGGGAAGCATAGTCTGTGAGAGTCATATCGTATTAACTACTAAAATAAGTCACAAGTAGAGCTGTGGCTCAAGTGATAAGACTGCTAGCCCTGAGCACAAAAATTCAGGGACAGCACCCAAACCTTAAGTTCAAGCATGCAGGCATATAGGCCAGCAGACACATGAACATGCACATATACATACACAAGTAAAATTATTCTACTTTAGCTTAACAAAATAGCTTTCCTTTATCTCCAATTAACCACCAGAAAACCAGAAGTAGAGCTGTGGCTCAAAGTGGTAGACCGCTAGCCTTGAGCAGGAGAGTTCAAGGACAGTGCTCAAGCCCTGAGTTCAAGCCCCATGATAGACAAAAAACAAACAACAACAAAACTCTCCTACAAATAAGACATAAATATTACATGATAAAAATATAGCTGTAGGTTGAGGATACAGTTCAGTGACAGATGACATGCTTAGCATGTATGAAGCCATGGATTAAATTCCTAGCATCCAAAGGCTAAACTAAAACGGCATTGTATCATAATGACCTATTAAGTACTATTAAGATTTCCAACAAGTCTATCTATTAACAAAATAGTAATTATTATTTTTGTCAGGTGAACTCAGGGCCTGGGTGCTGTTCCTAAGCTTTTCTACTCAAACCTAGTGCTCTACCACTTTGAGCCACAGCTCAACTTGTGGTTTTCTGGTGGTGAATTGGAGATAAGCGTCTCTTGAACTTTCCTGCTGGAACTGGCTTTGAACTGTAATACTTAGATCTCAGTCTCCTGAATAACTAGGATTATAGGTGTGAGCCACCAGTGTTTGGCAAGATTATTATTTTTTTTTTGCAGTCGTGGGCTTGAACTCAGAGCCCGGCTTGGGTATTCTACCACTTGAGCCATAGAGTCACTTCCGGCCTTTTCTGTTTATGTGGTACTAAGGAAATGAACCCAGGGCCCCATGCATGCTAGGCAAGCACTCTACCACTAAGCCTATTCCCAGCCCAAAATTAAAAATTAATAATGAACACTTATTAGGACATAAATCATGATATACATTATAATACTGTCAATTTTCCTCTTTGTTGTCTCAGTCTCCTCACTGCTGTGAATGAGTGTGCCACTACTTCCTGACTCACTAAGTCATTTTTAGTTAAAGACATACTGGCTAAAGCCAAAATATACAATGCTACCAAAGTTAAATGGTACCTTAGAGGAAGAATTGAAGATTTAGAAAAAACTACTGTTAGCTAGCTTAATATGTGAGCTTAAATCAGACAGGTACCACTAGGTACTTCTCAAAATCATTTTTTCTACAAGTTATCTTTTTTTGTGTGTGTTTAGTACTGGAGCTAGAACTCAGGGCCTGGGTATTGTTGCTTAGCTTGCTCAAGGCTGGCACTCTTATCATTTGAGCCAGAGCTCTAGTTCCAGCTTTCTGCTGGTTAATTGGAAGTAACAATCTCAGACTTTCAATGCTTGGGCTGGCTTAGAACTGTGATCCTCAGATCTCAGCCTCCTGAGTAGCTAGAATTACAAGCGTGAGTCATAGGTGCCTAGCAAGGCTCAAACTCTTTCATCAAACCACGAACTGGCAAGTGAGACAAGAGTAGCCAATCAGGTCTCTTCTAGGAAACTGTAACAGTGAAGGGAAGGAGGCTGGCTCACCCATGCAGTTGACCAAGCGTCAACCGGAATTAGACTTCCTGCCAAGTTAGCAAAATCATCCACTGAAAACGGTGTGGACAAATGTCAGTTCTAATTCCACTGAGCCTTTTCCCTAGGTTGATGAAAGGCAAGAGACTCAACTAAGAGCAAGCTGTGAATTCCTGATTGCTTTACTGTTGACTGATTTAGGTCACTTTAATGAGGCTTCTTTCCACCACTAAAAGTTCATGTATAGCAGCTCTGCCACTCAAAAATTTCACTGGGAAAGAAAAAGGAAAGAAAAGCCTGTTACTAAAAAATGTTTACAATCATTAGCTGAAAACCCACAAATTGTTTTGTTGGAGATCAAGAAGCTCTATTTATTCTTCAAATTGTTTAAGTACTCTCTAAACATGATGATGACTAAACATTATTAGTGTATGACCTAGCAATTTTAATTCCAATTTTGTAGATATATGATCTACAAAAAGGAAAACATATCATTACAAATACGTTGTATATGAACTAGTAATATCTTTTCATAATACTTCAAACTGGAAATCCAAATGAAAATCAACTGATATTACCTAAATAAAATGTGGTACGTCTAATGCTATGGTTATTTGGTAATTTAAAGAAATTAGAGATCCAGGAAATGGAAACAAGCATTTTTTTTCTTTAAGTAAGTAAATAAACAAATAAATAAATGTATTAAAGAGTGCTGATGCATGCTATCACATGAACTCTGGGCTTGGGTGCGGTCTCTGTGCTCTTCAGCTCAAGGCAAGCACTCTACCACTTGAGCCACAGCGCCACTTTCGTTTTCTGATGGTTAATTGGAGCTCAGAGTCTCACAGATGTTCCTGCCCCAGCTAGCTTTGAACCGTGATCCTCAGATCTCAGCCTCCCGAGTAGCTAGGAGTACAGGTGTGAGCCATCGGTGTCCGGCTCACATGAACAAATCTTAACACAAAAGTAAAAGAAATAAGCTGGGCGCCGGTGGCTCATACCTGTAATTAAGCAACTTGGGAGGCTGAGATCTGGGGAGTGTGGTTTGAAGCCAGCCTGTGCAAGAAAGTCCATGAGAGGGCTGAGAAGATGGTTCAGTGGTAGAACGCTTGCCTTGCATGCTTGAGGGCCTGGGTTAAATTCCTTAGCACCACATAAGAAAAAAAGACGGAAGTGGCGCTATGGCTCAAGTGGTAGAGCACTAGCTTTGAGCTGAGAGACAGTGCTCAGGCCCAGAGCCCGGACATCACCCCGCCCCCCGAAAAAAAGAAAGTCCATGAGACTCTAACCTCCAATTAATCACAGAAAAAGCCTGAAGTAGCAGTGTGGCTCAAGTAGTGGAGTGCTAGACTTGAGCAATAGGAGCCCAGGCCCAGATTTCAAGGCCCATGACTGGCAAAAAAAAAAAAAAAAAGTGAAAGAAGCTGATCAAACAGATCACAAGTTAGGATACCGTTACATATAAATTGTACAGCATAAGCAAACTCATAGACATACATCACTGGTTGCCTAGAGCTGGGAAAGGTTGAGGAGATAAGGAGTAACTGTTGATGGATATAGCTTTCCTTTTTAGAATGAACATTTTGTGCTCAAACTTACCTCTGTATGGAATTTGTTGTCACACAAATACAATGACGTATTAATTGGTTTGAAAGGTTCAAAGTCAATGTTGACTTTCTTTTCCTTTCCTTCTTCTGTTACAATTGTTCCACAGTAAACAACCAGACCATTTGGAGGTACTGAAAAAAAAACAAACAATTTCTCCACTTTATATGTCCTAGTTATAATTTAAATAGAACAAAATTTTTAGCAATGTTTACCATAATACAAAAGGCTGTAAATTCTTGAAATGCTTTCTGAATGGTTAAAAATATGTTCAATTATGTTGAACAGACTGTTGAATTTTGTTTTTCTCCTAAGTTTTTTTACCTTTGTTATAAAGTTTGAGTCTCTGTTGTACAGATGTAATGGCTCCCAGGACTGAAAGGCGATTTACTCGTGACTTAATGTTAGATGCAGTTCCAAATTCATCTGCTAACATTTTTGCTACTCGTGAAATCTGGTCTTTGGGAGGAATGATCAATGATATCATGCTGGTGCCATTGCTGTGGAAGAGAGAGTAACTTATTAGAGGCTAAAATTTGTAAGAAATGAATTTAAATCTATGTTTATCCTAAGTAAAATGAGTTAGGGTAAGATGTTCCTTTACCTTTCTCCCCTAGTACTGAAGATTGAATGTGGCCTCCTTAGTTGTCCCTCAAATAAGAGAAACAAACCACTCTCAAGATGATCAGGAAGACTATGTTAGTATATCATACTCTAAAGTATACAGGCAGAATTCAAGATATAGTAGCTGCTCAATTATTTGAAAGAGTATTGACTTTACTCATAAGGAAGACACTTGAAGAGATGCTTAGAAAAGACCTAATATCCCAAGAAAAGAAAGGTCATGATGGAGGGTCAACAAGCTGGAAGTTGCAGAATGAAGCCTGTTTGTAACAAAAGGCTTGGAATCATGGCTCTTCAGTGGAAGACATTATACCAAGACTATTAAACAAGTCCTTCAAATCTAGATAAAATATCACTTAATATAATCTTTCTCCATTAAAAAAAATTCAAGCTTGTCATGAAAATTTACAAGCATTAATTTAGTACCCTGTTTTTTTTTTGGTCAGTCATGGGGCCTGAACTCTGGGCCTGGCCGCTGTCCCTTAGCTCTTCAGCTGAAGACTAGCGCTCTACCACTTGAGCCACAGCGCCACTTCCACTTTTTCTGCTTATGTGGTGCTGAGGAATTGAACCCGGGACTTTGTGCATGCAAGGCAAGCACTCTACCACTGAGCCACCTTCCCAGTGCGCCCCCCCCCCCAAGTGTTTTGATGACAATAAGACAAGATGATACTAGAACTAAGAAATATCCTAATCATAAGATTTCTCTCTTCCTGTACTTCTCAAAGGCAATACATTTTATGCTTCAACTGCAGTGATTTTATTTTATTTATTTATTTTGGGTCCTGTTGTGTCGTGGGGTCTGAACTCTGGGCCTGGGCGCTGTCCCTCAGCTCTTCAGCTCAAGGCTAGTGCTCTACCACTTGAGCCACAGCGCCACTTCCAGCTTTTTTCTTTTTGCTTATGTGGTGCTGAGGAATCAAACCCAGGGCCTCAGGCATGCAAGGCAAGCGCTCTACCACTGAGCCACCTTCCCAGCCCCAGTGATTTGATTTTAAAGGTTTATTAAAGCTAGGTGCTGTGGCTCATGCCTGCCATCCTAGCTACTCAAGAGGCTCAGATCTAAAGATTGTGGTTTAAAATCAGGATGGGCAGACAAATCTAAGAGAAAGATGGAAGCAGAGGTGTGGACCAAGTGGTATACTGTTAATCTTAAACAAAAAAACTAAGCTCAGAATGCAAGGCCCTTAATTCATTGGGGCTTGATTAAAGAATCAAAAATAAGACTAACGGACTTGCTGTGAGGGTGCCACTGTTCAAAAAGAAATGTACTCACTACCTGACTTATGTAACGGTAACTCCTCTGTACTTCTCTTTCACAATAACAACAATAATAAAAAGGAATACTGCAGCTGGGTGCTGGTGGCTCATGCCTGTAATCCTAAACTAATTAGGAGGCTGAGATCTGAGGATCATGGTTCAAAGAGCCAGGCTGGGCAGAATTGTCTGTGAGACTCTTCTCTCCAATGAACCACTCAGAAAACCAGAAGTGGCGCTGTGGCTCAAGTGGTAGAGCACTTGCCTTGAGCTGAAGAACTCAGGGACAGCATCCAAGCCCAGAGTTCAAGCTCCATGACTGACCCCGCCCCCCCCCAAAAAAGAACATTACATGTAATGGGTGGGAGGTGGGGAAAATCCCTTTGCATAACTAATAAAAGCTCAGCTAACCAAACTAAACCAGAAACCAAACTAGCTAGGTACTAATAGCTCATGCCTATTATACTAATACTCAGAAGGTTAAGATCTGAGCATTAAGGTTCCAAGCCAGCCAGGTCAGAAAAGTCCTGGCCCTTGGAGCTGGGAATGTGGCTTCGTGGTAGAAGCCCTGGGTTTGACTGATTCCTCAGTACCACATAAACAGAAGGCTGGAGTGGTGCTGTGGCTCAAGTTGTAGTGTGTTAGCCTTAGGCAAAAGAAGCTCAGGGACAGTGCCCAGATCCTGGTTGTTCAAGCTCCAGGATGGGGGGAGGGGGGAAAACGGGGAATCGTGGCCCTAAGTTCAAGCCCCGGTATTGGCATTCAAACAAAACAAAGAATAAAATAAACATAAAAACCTGCATGTAAAAAAACAGTGAAGTTTGTTTTCCAGATTGATGAGAATATTTACAAATTAGTGTTAAACAATTGTACAACAGTGAAAAACCACTTCAAAGGGGATAGATTTCATGGCATGTAAATTATTTCTCAATAAAGCTTCCCCCCCCCCAAGGCAGGTTCTTTACCATTTAAGGCACAGCACCACTTTTGGCTTTTTGCTGGTTGATAGATTGACAGTCTCACAAGCTTTCATTCTGGACTGGCTTTCAATCACAACACCCCTCTACCCCCCAGTCCTTTTTTGTTTTTGTCAGTTGTAGGGCTTGAACTCAGAGCCTGGGTGCTGTCTCTGAGCTTTTGCTCAAGGCTAGTACTCTACCACTCTGAGCCACAGCTCCACTTCTGGTCCAGTAGAAGTTTGCAGGAAAAAAGTTAGGAGGCTGGGATTGTCAAGTTAAATTGGCAAATGTGCCAAGTAACCTAATAAGGAAGGAAAGAAGAATTGTGAAGGGGTTAGAGGAACACCCTATTTTAATTTTATTTCTAATTTTAGTTTGAAAACTGAAAATGTTGAAGATTCAGTTCTGAGAAACAGATTTTCACATATAAAGTTAACTTCGTAAGTAAGCAATATGATGCATGTTTCCTTCAGTATTTCCATTAGAAAAGGTACATCATTTACTGGAGACCCTGTTGCCTGGATTTACTATTACTAGTAAATCCCAGAGGTCCTTAAGATAGTTTTCTTTACAAGTAGACAATCTGGCTATCTACTTATACTGTTCAAAAGTTACTCTCAGACTGTCAACCAAAGTTGTACCTCCTAAACCAGTTTTGTTGCTGTTGGTCATCTTAAAACCTAAAAGTTTAGTTCATAACCTTTGTGATCATTTCTCCTTCACTCTACAAGTTGATCAAAGACACAAAAGAGTATAGTACTTTGCTGCCACCCCTTGGATAGGAAAGTATTTTAACCATGCCAAGGAATCAAAGGTATGTATGATATGTAGCTTCACAAATACTTGCTGGATTTTTAAAACAAAATTTATAAAAATCTTTCTGTAGCTAGGCACTGGTGGCTCATGCCTATAATCCTAGTTACTACTTCAAGAGGCTGACATCTGAAGATCATGGTTTGAAGCCAGCCCAGGCAGGAAAGTATGCAAGATTCTCATCTCCAATCAACTACTCAAAAACAACAACAAAAATGACCCAGAAGTGGAGCTGTGGCTTAAATGGCAGAACGCTAGCCTTGAGCACCAAAACTCAAGGATGGCGCTTAGGCCTAGAGCTCAAGCACTAGGGACTGGCACAAACAAACAAAAAACCCACCAAAAACCTTTCTGTAGTTTTACTGAACTAAGGAGGAGAAAAGGAGTTTGTTTTGGACAGGCTGAAAATATTGGGCAAATTTAACTTCAAAAAAATGGTCTAGGGGGCTGGGAAGGTGGCTCAGTGGTAGAGCACTTGCCTTGCATGCTCGAGGCCCTGGGTTCGATTCCTCAGCACCACATAAGATAAAAGCCGGAAGTGGTGCTGTGGCTCAAGTGGTAGAGCGCCAGCCTTGAGCTGAAGAGCTGAGGGACAGCGCCCAGGCCAGAGTTCAGGCCCCACGACCGGATCCTCCCCCCCCCCCCCAAAAAAAAGGTCTAGGAGGGGCTGAGAATGTGGCTCAGTGGTAGAGTGCTTGCCTTGTATGCTTAAGGCCCTGGGTTTGATTCCTCAGTACCACATAAACAGAAAAAGGCAGAAGTGGTACTGTGGCTCAAGTAGTAGAGTGCTTGAGCTGAAGAGCTGAGGGACAGCGCCCATGCCCAGAGGTCAAACAAGCCCTATGACCAACCAAAAAAAAAAAAAAAGGCCTAGGAGAGAAAAGAAACTCAGGCAAGCCATGTGTGGTGGCACATACAATCTTAGATTTTTCATAATTCTATAGATGAAGCAGGAGATGAAGAGTTCAAGGTTAGCCTAAGCTACCTAGGGAAACTTGACATACACATAAACAGACCAACACACAAGACACACGTGACCGCACATAATGGTTGAGGCCAGGGTTCACTCTCTACTATACAAACAAAGCCATCCTAAATTATACATAAAGTCTATTTTCTGTGCAGGGGCAATTCATGCATTTGGAGAATAAGACAATGCACAAGAAGGGAAAAGGGGGGATACAAGTTTGAATACTAATTTATTAGCTTGTCCTTTTCTGCTAAACAATTCACACAAGGATAAATAGTCTTTATATTAGGAGACTTGGAATCTTTATGGCCAAAGGAATTTTCTTAAAATAGGTTAAATTAAATAAATAAATAAACCACAGGGCACTGGTGGCTCAGATTTGTAATCCTAGCTACTAAGGAGGCTGAGATCTAAGGATTGTGGTTCAGAGTCAGCTCAGGCAGGAAAGTCTGTGAAATTCTTATTTCTAATTACCCACCAGAAAACCAGAAGTAGAGCTGTAGCTCAAAGTGGTAAGGTCTAGACTTGAGCAGAAAGGTTTAGAACAGTGCCCAGGCCCTGAATTCAAGCCCCACGACCAAAAAAAAAAAACACACACACACACACAAAAAACAAAAAAACTAGCTCTGATTTAGTGGCTTCCTAAGAAATGGAACTGGTAAAAAGGTAACCAGTAGTATATAGAATGAAAATGGGCTCTGAGACTAATGGGTGAAGGCTCAGAGTTGAGGAGAGAACAGGCACTAAAATCCCAAAGGATTGGAAAATATGAGACTGAAGAGAATGTTGGTTTGAATTGAGCAACCCAAAATGCCTGGAAGCAATCCTTAAAGCAAGATAATGATGCTGGAAGTAAAGCAATGACCTTAAACAGGTA